CATTGCCTTGATCTTCCTGTGCGGCATAAAAAATGCTGTCCCAATCACAACATGCCGCATATCGTTCTAGTTGCCGCGCATCGCGGGCGCGCGCGACCCATGGCGATCCATTTGTCACACACCCCGCGGCACGGAGGTGGCGTCACGCGATTTAGCTTAAGCATGTTTCTGTCGGTTTTGACTTCTTTTATTCCACTGAAGTCAAGAAAATTGTTGTTCTGACTTCCAAATCATGTGTTCTAATTTCAGAGACCCAAAAAGAAAAGAATGACTGGGTAGAGAGTATATGCGCTGTGATCGAAGATTGTCGAGCCAATTCGGCAACATTTGGTGCTGGCGTGGTTAGTGTTTACCGTAAACTGAACGACCTTTGGGGTGTGATCCAGGTTACAGTAAGCTCTGTTTACAGAAAACCACCTTGTCTGAGACAAACAACAATCACTGCGAAAGTCGAAATTGTGCGGATTGTGACGCTGAGTTCAGGTAAGAGATTTGTGAAATGTAAATAGCGGAATAAGCTGCTTTATTCAATGGAATTCAGAGGTATTAAAGAAAACTTGCAATTCGTGTTTTACGTGTTTTTGTCCAAATTCCATTTCTTTTATAATTTTATTTGGAGTGAAATTTTATTTAATGAATTGATTCTATTGGAATTTTCTTTATTTTAGCCTTTTCTACCGTGGTGTGAAATGTGGAAAATGTCGACGAAAGCTCTGCAAAAAGTGCTTTGGACGGTATCGAACGGAAAGCAAAAACAATCGAGTTTGTGAGCCTTGCGTGAAGAACATGGTAAGTACGACTATCAGTCGTTTAAGCTCATTTTTACCTTTTTTTCAGTTACATCACAAATTACTTCACTAATGAATTTCGTCGCTTATCTAAGCTAAAACTTGTCATCTCAACCCAGCAAGTTTTAATCTTTTGGGGGCCGTCTCAAATCACGTACATCCCTATGTTTTCACCATTTTCTTTCCTATTATTAAACATGTGGCAAGAATCAGATAAATTAGGACCCAAAATTATAATTGACTCGTAGACATGTGAAAAAGAATAGAATACTCAGGCTAAGCGACCCTCTTCCACAAGGCCACATGGCCGCGTGATGCCCCCTGTGCGTCACGCCGTCCGCAATACATTATGGAGGCGTAGTTGTGCATATTTACGGTTTCCTTTATTACCTTTCGATGTACATAAATGTGTTGTTTTCTTGAACCAACGGCTCACTCATTTCTGCTCAGCTTATAATACATTTTTATTGACATCTAAATTTTTCTTCCTTGCTTTATTACGCTAAATTCACAACAACAACTTTATCCATTCTTTCTAATCGACCGTTGGTTACATAGTTGAGAAAACTGGATCATTATAAACAGAAGACTCACTCCTTTTGTTCCTTCAATATCTTTCATTTCACTCGTCTGTTTCTATGAATTTTCATGTCCTCTAGTTTGCAAGGATTGCTGTGACGCATTCATTCGGCTCAAAAAATACAAATGAAATCAAGAAAAAATCCTGTGAAGGATTTCCTGGTTTCTTCCGTCCACTTTTTCTCAGAAAACAGCATCCCGTATTCCAAAAAAAATCCTCTTTTACTTCTTCTTCTCCCTGGCGTTAGTCCCGCGCAGTCGCGAGTCCGCTAAAATCCTCATTCGCTATATAGATGTAATTAAAGTGCAGAGGAGGACAATAAAGAATTAATCCCCTCCTCCACATTAAAATTAAGGTTCCACAGTTTGCTAAATTCGAATCAGATGCTTCGAAATTGACAGCGAAGAACGCATTTGACAACATTCTTACATATATAATCCTGTCCTTAGTGAAAGGCTGAGAATAGACA